ACCATTTTTCGTAATTTTTGTCATTAGAGATTTGATTTTGTAAGCCATTTAGTAAGGAAATACAAACATCTGTTTTTGTGATGAACTAAAAAAACTAAAATGTATAACTGCATGTATAAAACATTGGCAGCCTCTCTGTTTTGTTTGTAAATATACAGGGATAGGCAAAACAAGCTTTTGCATCTGCCAATTCCATTTCAGACTATGTGTGTATACATTTTTTTCTCTTTATCTGTCAAGTTTAAACGACTGAATAAAAAATGTCAAAAATTTCAAATGAAACTCATTATGCAGCAATGGTTTTGTATGACAAACCTGACCAACTAAATTTGATGATGCCTATATCAGCAGGTCAGGAAACTAAATTAATCAAATACAATCATTTAAGCTAATTAATAACACAAATCTCCATTTATCGTTTTTAATTTTTGGATTTGCAAACCAAACAAACCACCTAGTCTTAATTTAATACAGAGTTTATTAATTTCTCATTGCGGGAGAAACAGAGTTGCATTTAAAAATCTTCAAACTTTTCAGAAGCACAACGCTGTGCTTATTGAAATCATCATTAACTAATTTAGTAATCAATTAATCCTTAACGTAAGTATTGACTCTAAAACATGCCTTTAGCTGACAGAGCAACCCATTTAGAGCAGAAGTTATACAAAAATTGCGAAAGAATGTGCATTTAAGATAATGTCTGTGAATATGCACTATCCAGAACTCAAGTGGTAAAGTCTTAGTTTCAACTGGTTTTTTTTCTTAAAAGATTTTCTTTAAGCAACCTTTGGCTATCCGATTATTAATGAAAAAAAAATATCAACAGATTAATCAATTTGCAAAATAATCGTTAACTGCAGGCCAGCCCTAGTCTAAGTTAAATTAAAGAGTGTTAACTCTCAAAAACAGGTTAAACTCACATCCAATAAAATAAAATAAAATCACTTATCACTTACATTCTACATATAATTCAAATCACATGTTAAAGGAAACAACATCTTACAATCTGTAAAGAGTTGCTTAAACAAAACATCTAGTAAACTTTGCTATTTCAGGATCCATGGTTTCATCCAAATGATCATTTTCCTACTACGATGCACCCCGAGGTCCATTTATTTCATTCAGCTACAATTTAACCAAAAATTCAATTCAGTAACCGCTTGTTAAAAACCAAAATTCTAACATAATTTTAGTTTCAAGATTCTGGGCTTGATCATATTTATAAATATTTTAGGCAAATTCTTTATTATTTGTTTGAGGATGCTTTTGTTAGTCATGAAGCAGCATGATGATCTTACAGAGATCAGACTTGGCAGAGTGGAAATGGTTTTTCTTTTGTATCTGAAAAACCTTAGATGGCCTCTTTGAGAAAAAAGGCGTGTTTTTGTTATGATAGAGGGATGATTTAACCATCGCCTTATGTGTCTCTGTGTTCCCATAGTAACCTGTCCGGTGTGCATCCTGCCTCGAAGGATTAAAACTTGAGCTTCAAAGGTGAATGAAATCATGTATATCCAAATTATGACTTTTAATTCCTTTTATTCTTTTCCTATTTAAAAAAATCTATACATAATTTGATAGTTTTTAAGGAAATGATCCAGCTGAGTTTATTCATCATTCTGTCAAGGCTTCATAGAAGTCCTGTAAAATGTTATCTCTCAGAGGACGTCCGGTTGATTGCATTGCATTAACTTTGCAGCAAATCTTTTATCCTGAGCAAGCGCTTTGTGTTCGATAATAAACAATAAAGGAGCTCAGAAGGGCAAACACAGTAAACCACACAAGCCAAAGTCATCTGTCCAACACAATTACATCTAGCGTAGAAAAAAAAAAAAACATTATCAGAGAAAATTTTCGCTGCTCTGGGGGCGTTTGATGTAGGGGTAAAGCATGTTACTATATGCAGAGTCAAGACCCTTTTCTGCCCGTCCTCCCCTTTTCTCTCTGCTTATTTTATCTCTCTGCCAGCTACTAAAAAAAAAAACATGAGTGCCAATAAAGTTGTTTTGATTCAACACCTTTCAGTGACCTCTGAACTTTTGATGTTCCAAGGTTACCTCCATAAAAAGCCCTAATGACACTCTCAAAGGCTTTAGTTAGATTTCAATGAACTAGCAACTTCCCAAAAACAGTGAAATGTTTTCTCCTTTTGAAGACATTTTTAGGGGAGTTTTGGCCCACTGGGTTAGAGCAGTGCGCTTGTGCTCTGAGAACATTGCAAAACCTGGTTCGATCCCCACAGCCTCAACTCTGGGTTCCTGAGCAGACCTTTAACCTCTGATTGCACCCCGGGGCCACACAATCGCAGCCCAATGCTCCCCAAGGGGATGGATTAAATGCAGAGTTATATTTCTCCAGTGTGCGATCAATAAAGTTCAATTATTGTTATTTTTTTCCTGCTATAGGGATATAAAGATATTAATATTTTGTAAAATTTTAGTCACAGTACAACACAAAGTAGTAGTGATGAAAAATATATCATACGGAGGTTACCACTGCTTATTTATATTTGCAGGATAAATAAAGCCGTTTGGTGAAGGTATCAACGGTTCTTTTGAGAACATTGGTGAATACAGAGCATAACAAAGATCTGAGAACACAGCAGAGACACCAAGGAAAAAGCTGTTTGTTGAATAATGAATTCAGAGTTAGGCTGTAAAACAAAACCCAAAGCTTAGAGGGATTATAACACAACAGCTAAGATCCTGATCTCAGGTGGGAGAACAGCTACTGGCCATACACCCTGTTGCACAAAGTGGCAAACAAAAAGCCATTCATGGTGGAAATTCATAAGAATTACTGTTTATAGTTTGGCAATATGTAGGAATTGGGGATAACCAAGGCCAGCGTGCAAAACACTATGACAGAAAACTAATCACATCAGATCCTGAGAGAAACAAGGTGGTGGCAGAATCATTATATGTGGATGTTTTTTTTTTTGTTTTTTTTTATTTAGATGCGGGAAGCTGGTCAGATTTGACGGTAAGATGCATGGAGCTAAAACCGGGCAATAATGGAAGAAAACCTGTTAGACGCTGAAAAATAAATTCTTCAGACTAAAGAGTAGGTTTTACCTTCCAGCAGGAAAAACAAAAACATACAGCCATATAGCTGTGTGTCGATGGCCTAGTCAAAGCCTAAATGTAAATCCAATTAAGTATCTCTGGCAAGAATTGACCATTGCTGTTTACAGATGCCCTTCGTTTAATCTCACTCAGCTTGGGCTGATTAGCAAAGAAGAATGGATAAAAGGCTGCAAACAAGGCAAAGACATCCTCAGAAGAGTGCAAATATTATTGCAAAGTATATATTATGTGGTATATAGAAATACACTTTTTACTTCTTTTTATGCAAACAAATAAAAATATGGATAATATTTGCAAAAACTTTAATTCAGTTTATTTCTATAGCGCCAATTCATGATACAAGTCATCTCAAGTTCAACCAGATCATACAGTCAAATTTATTCAAAGTTTTCTATCTAAGGAAAACCAGTTGATTGTATCGACTCATTGACTCAAATGCAATCCCTCACACTAAGCATGCTTTTAGCGACAGTGGAGAGGAAAAACTCCCTTTTAACAGGAAGAAACCTCTAGCAAAACCAGCCTAAGTGTGAGCGGTCATCTGCCGAGGCCGACTGGGGTTCAAGAAGACAAGCAGAGATACAAAAAGCAGCTGGTTAAGGCGGCTCCCGTCCAGGAAACACACAGCCAGGCAGACGAGCTCAGAGCCAACTCCCATGTCAGAGAATGAAGAGAGCACATCCAGCCAGTCACGGTCAGAGAAACAGGACTACACTGGAAAACAGGCCGATCTCCAGCATCTATAAACAAGGGTGTTGATGGAAGCAGCACAGCTGATGTTTCTCTCCAGCTTGGTGTCACAGCCAAATAATGAAACTTGATAACTATGTTCTACTACATGCTAGTCTGTTGAGCAAAATCCCAATACACTGGTCTGTTGCATCATGTTAAAATGTGTAGTTAGCTGGATGTGGATACCTTTTTATGGTACTTTATTGATAGGAATTACCTTTGCATTTGTCTCTGGGGGTGTCGAGGCATTCAGCAACATGCCATCTCTGGGACTGTACAACCAGAACACAGAAAGGCATCTGACAGATGGGACAGTAGTCCTCGGATGTTGACTTCTCCTTTGGACTGGTTATCTCTGCAGCAGGAGACTCCTCTGATAATGAAAGGATGTTTGCAGCAGGAGATGAATCTTCACCTTTAGCTGATTTGTTTTTGGTGTTCTTCTCTTGTGACCTGACAGAGGGACAAATGTCCTTCTTTGACGTTTTCCTTGAAGGGCATCTTCTTCTTGAAATGCACATCGATGTGTTGTTTTTTCTTTTCTTCTCGAGAGGTTTATATTCCCAAATGTCATTTTCGGAGTCATCTTTTTGTGACATTTGGAGTAGCAATGAACCTAGCTTAGCAAGCGTCACCTCAATACACGGGTTATTACACAAGAACTAACGTTTGATAACATTCCCCTTGAAAAGAAATAGTAACACTAAACTTGCTTGTATTGTGTATATTTCCCCGTAAATATGTTATGTAAACCAGTCGCTAAGTAAACTGAGTTTTTTTTTTATAATAGTAAATCAACATTTAGAAGTTATTTTCATTTCATTTGACCATGATTCACTGTCTGAAACTGTTAGCTGACCGCCACAGCAAGACGATGAATTAAGTAAGCGCAATGAAATGGAAAGAGCCACACTTTCGGCATATGCAATAGCACTAATTTTCTTAATTTGTTTTTATAAAAGCATTAAAAAAATAATATAATAATTAATGTGGTTATTAACTAAGTAATATATTTTTAATATCGTCAATAAAATACATTTTACAGAGTAAAGAATTATTTATTTTTACTGAAAGTACTTTTCTCAATCTTAACGTTGCCCTTATTTGGCTTCCTGGTTAAGCAGCTGCTGTGATTGGTCGCTGCCTGTCTTCGAGGTTGTTGTAGTTTTTCTTTGTGCAATCATGGCGTCCCATTGCAGCCTCTCTGCATTGTATCCCATCCAAAGTCAGCTCGATTACGCTTTAGATGAAGCTGCCACACAACAAGAAAAAGAAGATCTTGTCTACCAGTATTTGAAAAAGATAGACGAGAAGGAAGACCTGAAGATACCGGATTTTCAGTCAGGTTAGATCCAGTTTCAGCTTTAGCTTCCTTAGCAACCCTGCGCACTGTCACAGCTTGACAGGAATCTCACAGTTATTTTCTTCAACATTTCCTATGTCATCTTTCTCAAACCCAATAACGATTTAAAAGCCAACTCCCGTCGAGTTTAGAAATAGTATTAGATAAAATTAAAGTTTTAAAATTAGCTTCAAAATAGCTCGCTATCTTATCTCTTCTAAGGCATCGAAGCAAATAAACCATAAAACTAAACTTTGACCAACCTTAAAACTTGGTTTTACTACCCGCTTTCTTTCAGGTTGATGCCCAAATATATGTCGACTCCTAAAAGTTTTCATTCGCCCAGCCTTTCAAAATTTACAACAAAATTATGTATTTTTTCTGTTTATATATTTAATGTTAAAGGAAGGCAGCGGTGTACAAAATAAAACGTTTTCCTCCATGACTCTTTAGTATATAGCTCCATCTACCATCCGTTTTACTTGTTTCTTTGTAAATAGCACAAAGCAGGATGCTGCTTCTACCATGTTTCATAGTAGGAAACATGTTTTACCTCTCTAGCTGAAAATAATGCATCCAAAAGTGCTGGTGAAGAATGTCAGTCATCCAGGTCACAGTCATTCCAAAAAAAGTGAAAAAACAACAACAAAACAATCCACTGGACTTTGTTTCCACGTTTGAAGACGTTTTGCTTCCCACGCAGGAAGCTTTTTCACACTTTTTCACAATTAGAATTGAAAAAGCTTCCTGGATGCAAAGCAAAATGTCTTCAATCTTGCAAACAAAGTCCAGTGGTTTTTTTTTTTTTTTTTTTTTTTACTTTTTTTTGGAATGCATCCAAAAAAAGGACAATTTTGGTCACATCTTACTACATATCTGTTGCATCTCCTTTCTGTGCATGATATGCATTTTAAAACATTAATTCCTTTGTTATTCTTTCAGGAATTACTCATTTTATAATAATAATGACTGAACTTTATTGATTTCACATTGTAGAAATGTACCTCTGCATTTAACCCATCCCCTTGGGGAGCAGTGGGCTGCCATCATGGGGCGCCTGGGGAGCTATCAGGGGTTAAGGGTCTTTGCTCAGAGACCCAGAGTGGCAGTCTGTGGGAGTGGGGCTCAAACTCAGAACGTCAGGATTCCAAGCTCTATGCCCTAATCACTGGGCTGCCACTCTCCTGGTAAGGCTGAGATCTGGCCTTTCCAGAAAGGCCAGATGTTTGCAATGCATGACTGATGGTTATCCACAGGTTATAACATTTCAACTGCAAGTCATCCAAAGTTGCGACGAGCTTCTTCACTATTTCATAGTTTAATGTTATCCTTTACATTTTAGCTTAGGAGCATTAAAATATTAGAGTACATTGAGCTTATTAAAAATGTGTACTAAACCGTTAAAAGCCTACATGTATCCAGTACCTTACCATTTACAGTGACGTTACCTTAATTTGTGGTATTCGTTATGACAAAGTGGAAGCCTCCGGTGGGATTAAAACTGTTTTCAAAGCACAGCAGCTGTAGTTTCATGTAATCAAATTGTCAACATGCCATATATATAGGAAGTAGCAAATTCAGGAAATTACCTAAGACTTTTGAATCTGCAATATTTGTCTCTTGGTTTCTACAGTCCTGCTGCCATTTTGAGAAAAAAATTTTTCTAAGATAAAACTTCTGATGTTTTGTTATATGTGCAAAAAGGATTTGAAATGTTATTTGTTGTCAGACTGGAGTTTTAATAACAGTAGAGCTGTAATGATTGTATAAAACGCATAAATATATCTCTTAATCTGTGAATCCATTTGTTAGGATCAATATGGTTTCCAAAGTGTCTGCTTTTGGACTTTTCCAGCCACAAAAAAATCATATGTCCTACTGAGCTGTTAGGAGAAACCATAACTTTACAGCATGTTGTGCTCATCTTATCACACCAGCAGGTGGTGATCTTGAGCACATGTGAGCTTTATCTTTCCTCAGAAAGTGAAGATTCAGGATATTTCATCACTTTATTGTATCATTAAAGTACCAGATAGGCAGGGTGGCATAAGAGCTAGAATGTGTTGCTCCCACGGGTTACGCCATCTGTAAAAAGGTTAAATGCAGGAACATTTTGCTATGACTTGTTTTTTATTGCTATATTTGTATAATTAGAAGGTTTTTTGGGAGTTAAGCCAGTTTCAGTCACATTAGCAAAGCAACAGATGAAAGAAAACTTTGTCACATAGAAAGTAGCTCAACTTTTACATACAGTATAACACAAAGTAGATGTTTGTTGTCGCTCTTGTTTTATTCTGTACAATGCAGGATTTCCCCTCAGGTCCTCTAAAGTCGTACAAAAGCCTCAAATACATCAATGCGTACTACAGTAGGATTCAAAATTAGTACCTTCCTAAACTTTTGCATCGGTCAGTTCATCTAGTAATTCTTTTTAATAATAATAATGATAATTGAACTTTATTGATCTCACATTGGAGAACTTTACCTCTGCATTTAACCCATCTCCTTGGGGAGCAGTGGGCTGCCATCATGGGGCGCCCAGGGAGCAGTGTGGGGTTAAGTCTGTGGAAGTGGGGCTCAAACTCAGAACCTCAGGATTCCGAGCTCTATGCCCACTAGACCGCCACTCCCCGCAGTGAACTTTCTTAAAATTGTTCAGATAAGTTGCATATTTTTTCCATCATGTGTTTCAGTTCTGGGTGTGAGTTGTTTTTGCTTTGAAAAGCAAACTGCAAGGTGTGATTTAAAACATCATGGTACAATGAAGGATCCAGTCTAGTAGTGTTGCAGTGTGTGAGATTTTATCATTGTGTTACTGCTGTAGCCGAATCTACCTTTCACCATCAACCGCAGCTCTGTCCTTATCACACCAGCTAAATTCCAGCAGACAAAAGATCAAGCTTTCAGTCACAGTGAGTTAGTTATGGACCAGTGAAGCAGCAGATGCATCTATAGGACAGACTGTCCCAGGATCAGTAAAGGGGGGAGGGCTTTATCATTGCTATAGTGATGCAAAAGGAGTGTGTGATTCAATCATAGACCGTTAGGTTTTACAGCTGGAGGTTTGTCAGTTTCGGAAAGATAATATTTTGTATTGATCAAAGATGTTTTCACGATAGAAAATCAGATAAGTATCTACAAAAAAGTTAGAACAATGTAAAACAAAAGAGAATAGAAAAAAGAAAAATAACTATTTACTTTAGTTTTTCTTTTTACTGACATTTTATTAGAGAATTTACTCCTTTTATAAATCCTCATAGGAAAGAGTTAAGTTGACATTTAAGCCCTAAAGCTTACCACTTACTACTTTGGTTTCATTCTTTAAAGTTTCTGAAGCACAGTCTATTTATTAAGTTGTAAATGTTTGGTTTAAATCTTAAGTCCAATATCTATGTTTTCTTTTCCTCAAATTGTAAATAATTTGTTGTTTCCTGTTATTTCCTCCAGGCTTGGAGTGGCTGAACACAGAGGCGCCCCTGTCTTTGAGCAAGGAACTGGCCGGTAAAGTGGTGCTGCTGGACTTTTTCACTTACTGCTGCATCAACTGCATGCACATCCTCCCGGATCTGCACCAGCTGGAGAACAGATACTCTGTTGAAGGTCTGTAACGACTCTCCGTGTGTCTTCAGGTCCATGTGAAGTGCCTATTAATATGATAGCCTAGTTGCAGTGATTGAAACATAAAATAGGGTAGAAAGTAACCGTGGCAACAGGTATATTAAGGAGGTAGGAAGATTGTGCAAATGGATCACAAAACCCACTTCACTATCAACAAATGAGACCGAATTAGTTCCTAATAGGCTGAATGCAGACATTGCAGTAAGGTGAAATTAAAAAATACGTTTTGTTTGTTTTGTTTTCTAATGTTGTATTAAAAAGTTCCCTTCTAGCTGTGCATTCGACGACATGCTCCCTCTTTCTTACCTAGTCTCCAAATCTTTGAAAACTGTACACAAATGCATAGACAAACTAAAGAGTCCTGTATCTAGAGGTTTTTTATGTTTATATCAGAAAATGGGTGATGATGATTAATCATTAAGAATTATTATTTTTTTTTTTAGAGCAAAATCACTGTTGTTCGTTGTCGCAGTGAACCTGCACACTGTTTTCTGCTCTGTTTGCAAAGTATCATTAACAGAGAAATAAAATCTATGTGCTGTTTAACTCAAACATGAGCTGCTAGAAGGTAATATTACGGATGTTCTAATAAGTGAAAAAAATATTGATTTTTGTTTTCGTAGTTTGACGCTTTTTTTGAAAAACTTTTGTCCTTTTTTCTCATCTCTCTTTATTTTAATTTCTCTATAATCAAATTTCTCGATGTAGCGTCTAATAGAGGTGTCATCCTTTGTAATGAGCTGTAGGTCCCAATGTGAAGCTTGTTGCATACTCCTCAGGATCTGAGAACTTCTTTTGCCTCAGAGTTTCAAACTTTACGCAAAGCCCAGCTGCTAAATTTATCTGACGTCCCACCCACTGTAGCTTATGTCACACCAGCAAAAGAAAACACAACAGCAACACAACATCAGAGGAGGCATTTTTTTACAAGACTCATTAAGGAGGAAGATAACAGCAGAATACTTTACATAACTTAGGAGAGATACTATACAAATTTTCCTCTTTTTTTCACCATCTCTGCCAGCTGATCCTCTTCGCTATACATTACATTAGGTTAACTGTACATAACCTGTAAAAAAGGTAACTAGAAAACGGAAAGGAAAAAAATTATCTCTGCTCTTCTTACTCTCAACGGCGCCCCAAATTGTTACCAATCAACCAATTGTTATCAAGATTTGTGGAGAAAAAGCATCCAGAATAATTTTGTTACTGCTGCTGGGGAATATGTGGCGCCCTTTACTAATTTTGTCAGCATCCGTTTAAAAAAAATTGATCTTTAATTTTGCAAATTATCCCGATAGATTGATTGTATGTCTTTACTGCTACACTCCCTTTGTGAAGTAGGCTTTTTTAATGACAAAAACTGGATTTTATTTCCTCCAATTATGTTGTAAACCTGCAATGAAGCTGCTTTTTATGGGTAGAGATACATTAAGCATAAAATTATTTCATTTTCTTCTAATTTCCAGTTTTCAGTCAGTGATGCCTGGAGCAGTTTAGGAAAGTTTGAAGTTTATCAACATCCTGCATCAAAGTATTGCCAACTGAGTTTAGTGAAGGTTCGACTGCATAAAGCGGCACTTTAGCCATAAGTGCATAGTACGCAGTACCTGAAGCCGAGACAATGGGGGACTCTTTTTTTTTTTTTTTTGAAATATTCAGAAAAGTTTGCAGCATCAATCTGTTGTATCTGTGTCTTCTCTATTTGAGAGGTAACTTCTGCTGCTGCCCAAATCCTCATCACTCAAACCAGTATCACTCAGCCTTTCTATCAGCTCGCCTCATCAGCAAAAGTCTCCTTTCTCTACGGCGCTATAATAAATTGTTCCCATTATAGCTGTTATGGTACTGTAACTCTAGCTGACTATAGAACCCAAACCCACAGCCTTTTTTTTTCTTTTTAGGTGCTAAAATTGGTTTTGTTCACACATTTCAGGAACTGGTATTGATTTTGAAATGTAGGCTATTGTCTCCTGAAAGTGCAGCTTCTTCCCAGTTCTTTTTGCCTGAGAGGTTGCTCTTTGAATAAAACTCTTAATAACACCTTTTATAATGAAAAAAAAATACTAAACAGGACTTAAACTTTAACATTATTTAACTTAAGGGAGGGTTTAGAATGGGTTTTAAAGTTACAGTGCTGGTTGCAGTGATTTAACTGGCTTTAAAGGAATAAGATTATCCAAAGAAACCATTTCTGATTGGTTCATTTACCTCAGTGATGTTTGAAAATATGTGTCACTGGGTGTCTATCTGACAGGGTGTGTCATTATTTCATGTCCAGTCCACGGCGTACATGTACCAGTTTTTTCTTACTGCCATAGCCGCGGTCATGTATCCCCTTTGTCAAACCTGGCCCTTAAGAAGATTCATAATTATTATTATTATTATCTATATGGGATATTTTATCTATAAAGGCTACTCTGGTCATATTTTCCTATTCTTTTCATAACCTTGTGACTTAGCCAGGTTAGTACACGCACAACCCATTTTTGGAGGCCTTATTCCTCAACGCGGGCGACTCGGGTTCAAATCCGTTTCTCTACAGTACCAATTTCATACCCCTTTCCTGTCAACATACTGTTAAAAAAACTAGTTAAAACATAAAAACCTCAACAACAAAAAAAAGATGAATTATTTCCTTTACTTTAACTTATCTGATTCCTGAATAGATTAAAGGAAATATTAAATTTGATATATTGTAATATGGGTAGGAAAAAAATCACTTTAATAGAGAAATATCCATGTCTAATATATAGGTATTTAAACGTTTAAAGGAGTCATAACCTGGTGTTTTATACATACAATCCTAAAATTGTCTTTTAATTTGTGTTTAATAATTTCTAGAAAAGAAAAAATGTAAATAACTCTCGCTCAGACCCCTGTTCTTCCAGACTTTTGTCTCTCCGAGAATTTGACCTGTGTGCACGCATGTCCATGTGGAGATAGCGTTAGCAGCATTAGAAGTTTGCTGTAGTTTGTTACCATGGTGTCCTGATCTCTTACACAATAGATAAAATGTTAAACAAGCAGCAACGCTTAGTGGCAGCCAGCAGATGAGTCCCTGATGGTTGGAATCACCTCTTTTGGTGGAATAGAGGAGTGGGTAGTGAAGGGCTAAAAATGGCACTTTGGGGAGAGAACGCTCTGGTGTTCATTTCTGGTTTGCACAAGTCCTCATTTAAAAAACACACACAAAAAAAACATGCCACTTTGACACTCTGAATTTTCCAACCGGTTTTAATTGAAGCCCCAAACCAACACATACGTTATTAAATGAAAAAAATTTTTTTTACAGTTGATGATTCCTTTAATAGAATATTCTTATAGTAGGTAAGTAAAAAACAATTTGTATAACAAATTTGAGCAAGCAACTCAAGGTGCTTTACATCATAAAACATCAAAACAAATAGGCAGTAAAATCATTTAACATATAAATTAAGTACAAAAATTATCAACACATCAGGATCATCAAACAAAATCATAAAAACCATCAACCAGACACATGATGATGATCAGATGTTTCATTTGTAGTAAGATAATTGGTTTAGAGCAGCTTTTTTTGGATTTATTTGTGGAATAGTAATGAAAGGCAGCTCTAAACAGGTTGATATTTAGCCTTGATTTAAATGAATTCAGTGTTTTGGTTATTTTCTCTGAGTCTCTTCCAGACCACAACTTTATTTCAACTTTGGTAAACCTCCCAAAATATACCTGGGTAATAAATTGGTTAAAACATTTCCACTTGCATGACCAAAACTGTCATAAAATCAGTTTAGATCATTTAAAACCAGACTCATTAAAAAAAAGGGAATCTTAAAATATAAAATGTGTTGGAACCTAAAAAAGTAGATAAAGTGCTGTTGCGTTTTGCTCAGCAGGGCCTCTGTTAGCTCCCCCTGGAAGGGAAATTGTAGTTCAACCATCTGCTTCTTCTCCAAGAGCAGGAAGGTCTTATCACAGTTGTAAAGAGACGGTAGCCAAAAATAATCTCCAGCTGCAGCAGAAGTCACTGCAGTGCTCATTTACAGCACCGTGCATCGTTGTATTCCATAGCAGTCTACTTAAAATACCAACTGCTTGAATGGTTTAAGCTGCTGCATCCATTTACAACTTTTATTAGAGGTTTTTGAGCCTAAAGATTTTAATGTCCTGCAGACTGAAGCTGCAAAAAGTTGGTTTTGTTGAAAATGTAATTTTGATTTTATGAAAACTTTTGAGTTACAGTTAAATCAAATTAGATTAATAAAAAAAAATAAAGGAAACTTTCTATAAAGTTATTCAAAAGGACAAAAGAAGTCTTTTTTTTGTTTCCTTTTTGACAAGTTTAAACTAGTCAGTTGAAATCCAGTCAGGGTTTTCAAGATTTCATATTTTTATAACCTCTTTTCCTCCATTTATTCCATATTTCTCTCTCTGTTTTGATGTAATTTAAGGATAAAATGTACCCTGAAGAAAACAGTTTGAATTAAAGTGTGATAAATATGGAAAACAAACTTCACAGCACACACAGACACGCTGCAGTTATTAAAGGTTAAACTGACAATGGAAACTAATTCTGCCTTATTCTGTGCTGAAAATTCTTTCATTTACTCTCATAAATCCTGCAGGAACCTCATTCCAAAGATCATCTCGCCGGCCGTGTTATAATTGAGCTGTGAGCCTGGTTGCGCTCAGAGCACAGTGCGCTTATCTTTGGCACTGATTCGGGTACATTTTGTTTGCAGCTCTGGTCGGTGAGGTGTGGGAGCCACCCTGTCCATTCACTCCCACAGTCCGCTCGCTCACGCACCCTCCCATTGTCACTACAATATGTCGCTGGTGCTACACTGTTTGGCAAAGGTTGTAAGAGACAGAAGTAAGCAGAGAGTATGAGGCTGTGGTTCTTAATGCTCAGGAAGCAACAATTCAAATCTTTCTGCAATTGAAGTTTATTTTTTTTATTATTATTTCTGTGAAAACCAAGCTTAACTTAACTACTATGAGTCTGTGAAAGGTATTTGCTCTATAAATGTTTGGCTTTTTAAGTTTAGAACAACTAAAAACAAGTGTCCAGTGTATATTTACTTTGCATATTTGACAAATTTAGAAATGCATACAGTCTGTTCTTATTTTCAGTTCATCTTTCATTCTATCAAATTATGCCTTTGGTGGTTTTCAGTGCATTTTAGTGCATTGCAGATGCAAATGTTTTTGTAACTGAAAATTGATTAAATTTATTAGGGTGTATCACAGTTTCTATTTCTAACTATTATTTTTTTAGGCCTCCATCTCAAAGTATTCTGTCATTTCCTGGACCAAAACTGAGAAATATGCAGAAAGTGTGAAAGAAAAAGAGACAATCAAGAGGTTGCCAGAGTTGCTGAAGACAATAATGTCATTAAAAGATGATTTATGTGAGGAATTATCCTTTAAAATTGGGATGTCAGCAGAAAGTCTGGGAGCATTGGTTTCAAGTTTTAGCCTAATGGCACTAATACAGATAAGAGGCGTTTGTTGGAAGCCTGTTTTACCTGTAATTCAACAATTTCATAAAATGACGATATGCTGAGAAATAAATCAGATTTCATATTTTTTTTTACTTCACCACTGTATTGTAGCTCTGAAAATAATGGGCCTCATGTAACAACATTTTCATAACCTTGTAAATTTCTCTTACTTTTCTCCTTCTGTGGATTGATAAGAATGCGACACATCAGACTCAACAAATGTTTTTAACTTCAGTAAATGATCGTAAATAATCCTCATAAAGGTGATGCACGATAAATGTAGATCTGCAAAATTAACACCCCGATTTTTCCATAAAAGGCATTAAAGACGAAGAAGAAAAACTTTAAAGGTTTGCAGATTGAGGTCTGACTGTGAGCCGAACAGCAGAATTAAAGGACCAGTAAAATGGTAAGCAGTGGGGAATAAATTACAAAAGCTCTAAACGCTGTGGTTGCCCCGTGTGCAGAAGTAAAAATAAAAGAAAAGAATAAAAATAATTTAAAAAGAACAATCATTTTTTCTGAAAACAGTCAATGAAAACTACAGATGGAGGAAAGAACAGCATCATACTTTCCTGTATGTACCTCTCCACCCTTTACCACACTCTCCATTGTCTAACATTGCATACATTTTTTATAAAATATAAAACATTTACAGCAAAACTCAGCAAAAATTTGTTCTTGCAAGCGCTTCTTGCATGATGCCCATTGTTTCAGCACCAACTGTCACACCACTAAAACTGTTCAGCTTAGTTTACAGGCAGTTGTTCGACTATGTGACCATGTTGTCATGTGAAAAGGAAGTTAAAACTCTGATATATAATCAGAGTGGCATCAAACTCCCCCTTTTTTAGATGAGATAAAAATGTGTTTGGCCTAAAGCTAGTCAATATGGCAAAATGGTCATAAGATTATCCAATCCACTGTATTTATATAGCACATTTAAACAACAAAACATTTCTGAACTGCTGCACTTGGAACAAGGTCAGTATAAAACAATAAATATAAATAAAACAGTTTAAAACAATAAATACAATAAAATAAATACAAAGCCACATGGGACCACATAACTTACGCAATGCTAAAAGCCAGAGAATAAAAGTGAGTCTTAATACGAGATTTAAAACACTCCATACGTATATTAAGGGGCAGAGCATTCCACAGCTTAGGGTCGACAACGCAGAACGCTCTGTCCCCTCTGGTTTTCTGATCTGTCCTAGGAGTCACAATTTGGAGCAGGCCCTCAGACCTTAAAGCAAGCAGGGGACGATGCATTTGGATGAGGTCTGCAAAGTACTTTAAAAACAAACAACAATAATATTAACATCAATTCTAAACTTAACATGGAGACAGTGCAAAGATGCAAGGATTGGCGTGATTTGTTCACGTTTTTTGGTGCCACTTAAAATTCTGGACTGACTGCAAGCAGGAAAGTACCTTGTGGCTACAGAAATGCCTGAATAAATTGCATTGCAGAAGTCCATACAACGTGAATGCACGACTTGCTCAAAAAGATTAAAAGATAAAAATGGCTTAACTTTGGTTAAAAGACAAAGATGATAAAAACCTCATTTTAAAACGCCATTGATCTGTATCAGATTTAAAATCACTATCTGGCTGGTGACTTTGGGACGCAAATAATTTTGGAGTGATCCCAAGTTTGTGTGGGCAGATCCAAAAACCATAACTTCTGTTTTACCCTCATTCAGCTTTAAAAATAATTCTTGGCTAATCAAGTATTGACGTCACCTAGACAGTCGAGCAGGGGTGTCAGGGGCCCTTCTTAGCAATAGGCATGAAGATTTGACAGTCAGCGTAGAAGTGGTAAGACAGGCCATGCTTCTTAAAAATCTCCCCAAGTGGGAGGAGGTACAAAGCAAAAAAAAGTGGGTTAAAAAAGATTATTGATCATTGGTCTCTTGAAGGTATAGTAGAAGATGTTCGTCCAGGTAGAACATAAAATAAGTGGTCCTCCTAATTGTCAGTCATTCTGGGGATATGTTTACGTATGGGGGTCCTACGTGCTCGTCCCCAATTTCACTTACCGGTGGTAAATCTGACATAGTAGAAAAATAGAGGAGAGAGGAGAAACTGTGCTTGTGCATGCTCTTGCACACGTTATAGATGTTCATGTTCTGGAGCGGGTATGGGGTTGTGCATGTGCATTTTTTTTTTAAGTGAAGAGGGCGGGTCTTTTGAAAAATTCACAAAAATCCTCCACAATACCTTTAAAGTTTGTGTTTATTTTCCCTGTGTTTTTGTCTGTCAATCCCGGACAAACAGGATAAACAAGTGTGTTTCTGTTAAGTCAGGAAGTCTTTCCTGTTCCTCTGGTTATTTTCTCAGATTTCTCTCCCTTTTCTGCACAGACAATCTTTGCAGCAAAGTACCTGCTGCCAAATATCACTTTGACATATCCCTGCAAAAAAAGAAAAACTTTATTATGAAAACATTTATTCCCCCCACATACTTGTGCATATTGGGGCCTTAAATGCATGTAAATTCCATATATGGTCTTTAATTCCTGTTTTTAATAGCAGCATGTCTACAACCATTTTTCCATGTCAAACAGTACATTTAAAATTACTCGTTGATGAGGCATATTTTGGGAAAGTTAATAGTTATACCCTTGTGGTGACATTTCCCCTCTAAAGTAATCTAATTTATTCTACTTTAATGATGTTTACCATTTTAAATTGTGTAATGATGCTTATACAGATGCCTATATGAAGACAAAGCATCTAAATAAAGAAAAGAAATACTGACATTATCTTGGTGCACCACAAAAAACTTTTAGTGCATGCTCCTGTTGACAAGGTAGATTTCTCACGTCTTTACAAAGAATTATATGAGTTTTAAATGTGGGAAAACTGTACAAAAAAGGGATGTGTTTGAGTTAATTGTCCAACTCTGGTTAAGAGACAGGAAGGGAACCTGTTTGAAGTATTTCCTGTGAGAGTTTGACCCTCGCAGACAGATTTTTAGCTCAAACCAGCATCAAAAATCATTATTCTCTGGTTTTAACTTTGTTTGAAATCATATCATGACACTTTTTGAGTTCTTGAAAAAACTAATAACCCTTCAAAAAAATCCTAGCACAATAAAACACTTAATGGGATTAAATTTTTAAGGAGTCTTATTACAATTGAAGAACAAAAGTCTGATTAATCCAGCATCTTTTATATGTCTGGTTGTTTGTTTTCTTATTGATTAAAATAATCCTGAACTGCAGCAATACTGCTGTAACCTGATGTTTTAACAGTTTGTTTGAAGTTTAGTTGCATAGTTTTATATTAAGTTGAATCTTCCAGATGTTGTATAATGAATAATTAACATCAGGTAGTATTAAACAGTCTTTAGGTGAGTTTGTGCTCATGTATGTCAGCAGCATTTTGTGTACGTTTGAGTGTAATTTTCTCTCCCTCTCTGTTTAATCCCTCTCGCAGATGGGCTGGTGATTATCGGTGTGCACTCTGCCAAATTCCCCAATGAAAAAGTAAGTGTTGTTCTGGGTTGTTTGTCTTTGGACAGGCTGGTCTGGGAAAGCTTTACTGGATTTTAAAAACTGCCAAGAAACAATTCCACTGTATTACAGTAGCTTAGTATCCCCGATTAAAAAAGTTTTGAAAAACTTCAATATGACTATTTTAATACATTTCAAAAACAGAAAAAGAGAGAGAAAAGTTTCATGTTCTTTTTTTGTTGCCACATGTTTAGCTTTTTTTGAGTTTCTACTAAAATAAAGCTAAATTGATTATTTCTAATTGGTCGGTGTCAAGAACCTTTAGCTGATAATTCATGTTTCCCTGCATTTGACTATTATGCAATGCAGAGGCCCATTTTGCAAATATTCTCCTCCAAATACAAAAAACAAAGTATACATTTCAAGTAAGGTAGATGTGTGTTGGTCCTTCCAAGTCAAGAAAAGTAACCATCAAATATATACTTGCATAAAACTGCTCATATGTAGAGTCAGAGTAATACGTTTAAAAGTTTAAAATGGCTCACACTGTGACAAGTTTGGATTAGGACCCGGGTTTATGTTGCCTCCATAAAAGTATATCATTGTTGGTGAACGATGGAAATCTGCAGCATCTTCTGGGTTAATAGATCTCCAAAGCTATCTGAATACTAATTGTTTGCTTAGAGGGCATCCCTGAAAAAAAGCAGCATTTTTTGCCCTGCCACAAATACTGTAAATCATTGTCCCTACTTTAGATAACAGTACCTTCTCTATTGGATAGATCACATGTACCAGCCTCTGCTCCTTCCCCTTGTATTCATCACTCTTTATATCTTGGATCACAATTATTAGATCCTATCCCAATCTGCTCAAAATTTCCCCTTTACCAATTTTCCCGCTTCTGACCCATCATCTTTAAAAGGAGAAGAAATGTAGAAGAAAATGTTCACTTTCTGCATTATACATGCCACCCACCAACTGGTGCCATGTTGAAGAGATAATCGATGTTATTCACTTCACCTGTCACTGGTCAATTTCTTAATCCTGATCGGGGAACAAAGCATTCACCACAAAGGGAACCAGTGTGCATATTTTAAAAGCAATTGATTCTCACTGGATTTTTCTCCTAATTTAATGTTCTAAAATGAAGGGTTGGATTTCATTTCATTAAAATGAAAGGTGGTGTTGTCACACTGGGTTATAGCTTAAACCAGCCGAGGTTCCGGGATTTCCAAAGTTAAAGAGTATTATAGAGTATTTGGTTGGACGGATAGGATATGACTGGTTTCCTAGCTGCCTAATTTCTGAGGTCACACCTTTTCCTAGTAGATAGTCAGACAATCAAGTAGCTTGTGATTAATCTACCACATCCAGTTAAAGAGGCATTAGGGAGGTTTCTAATGATACTGCCACCTGTGTCCATTAAACAGAACTGCAGCACTCTTCTGCTCGTTCTTGGAGCTCGCGCTTGTCCTTAACAAGGTTTTTAGCTTTTTTTCTTTCTTCGCTTCTGAGTATCTACAAATCTATCTTGAATATGACGGTTTCATTGTTTGCTAGGACCCATTTTACTGGACGGAAGAGAGTCATCCACGACCTTAGACACAAAACTCTCCTCCTCTTGCATGTTTCCGCTGTCCATAGCGTTCTGTGACAGTGTCCTTGCTAAGTGCTACTTTGTCACAATGTAATTTCCCATCGGGAACCTACTAGCACTATGTTGCTAACTGGTTAGCAAGATGCTTCAGACAAACCAGCAACAACCAAACTGCTTGCAAACCTTCCGCCACAACAATCCTGCGCCCTTGATAAACGGCCAATCATAGGCACTATATTCACTTGTTTAGAGTCAGGCACCACTAGGGGGGAATTCGAATTGCAACGGTTGGAACAGCCGCTTCCCTACGACTTTAAAAGTCAGGCAAACCCATTTGGATAGTGGAAGATAAAACCTTTCAATACCATTACCGGCCACATATCTGACTCACTAACTATTTAACTATTTTTATTAATTTAAGCCAAAACTAATTACATATTATATTAAACTGTACTTGCAATATTCATCACTGTTAGTTGCCATTTCCTTTTTCTTCTGAGCACGGAGCAGCCTGCTTGCTTGGACTCGCAATAAATCATGGGATACCCTAGGGCAGTGGTCTCCAACCCTGGTCCTCAAGATCTACTGTCCTACAGATTTTAGATGCATCCCTGCTTCAACACAGCTGAATCAAATGAATGGCTTGAAAAGGTAATCAATCATTTGATTCAGCTGTGTTGAAGCAGGGATGCATCTAAAATCTGTAGGGCAGTAGATCTTAAGGACCAGGGTTGGAGACCACTGCCCTAGGCTGTGAATCATGGGATACCCTAGTCCTTTCAACTAGGGGACAGGAAGGCTGCATTTGTCGGTTGCACACAAACGAGTCTTAGAATCTGAACAGGCCTCGGCACCATGCTATAACGTAATCAGCCAATGATTCTGGCCATCAGAGGATGCAGCCGAATTGTTTCTCACAAAGTTCATCCTTAATAATAGGCATCCTGGATGTTTTAGTTATCTCTCTTTTTAAACACACAAATGGTAGCTCATAGGAGGCCTATGCAGAACTTTGACGTGCTGAGGAGGTAGTAACTACCTCCAGGGAGAAGAACTAAATCAAGCAAGATAGCAGCCCTGAGGACTGAATTTGGACAACGCAGTTTTAGAGATGACATTCCACAAAGGAGAAAAACTCAGGCAGATATTTGTAGTTTACAAATTTCATGAAGTTATTGCCATGTCTCCAAGTCGTTCATTAGGATGAGTTCTATTAGCTGAGTTGTAGTTTCTATATTCAACCTTAAACTTCTATTCCATAGAGAAAGTGTGAGGAGGATTAAGATTATACTGTTTTCTTTTTGGTTTGTTTTTAGATATAAAGTAATAATCATAATAACTGTCCTTATTTTTTATGGAGCCGAGGCGGAAGTTCAAGAAACGATTACTTACCCTCATCCGCCTCCATCACAGGCCAATCATTTTTGAACCATACCTCCATAAAAGCCAGTCAGCATCCAGAGTTTATCTTAAAATGTCTCCAAATCCACATCTTAGTCTGCTACCCAAAGCGCAGGCAGTGGTTGCGCTATCTCGGACTTCGATTCAGACAACCCCGATTCAACCCACCTCCATCCCATTCTCCACCATTGTAGCTAAAGCTTCGTCAGAGTGTCATTCCTCCCGGACTCATACTGCGTTCCCTGTATCATCTCAACCGGTCTGGCAGAAGACCTCCATGTTGAGCCTGGTTCTGCCAGAGGTTTCTTCCGAATGGGGAGTTTTACCTCTCCACTGTCACTCCATGCTTGCTCATCATGGACTGGTTCATGCCAACTGTGTTATCTAAGCTGGACTTCATGCAGTCCACTTGATCTTTCCATAAAGCCTCATCTATCTCCACTCTACCACTAGTTTCAGGCCTGGGGGGAAACATCCCTATTCTTTACTCCTGTTTATGCATTTCAAAGCAAAATTCAGAACTAATGTTTCCTACTGAGGTCTGAGCACCAAAGACTAAAGTAATTGTATCAATAAAATTCTTCTAATTGTCTTTCTGTGTGAGTATTTTAGATTTAAACACCCTTTTCATGCTGAAGTTATTTACAGGTGGTGTAGAACATGAAGCAGAGTGATTCTACGCACCAGTGCATCAGGTGGTTTCTGAATTTTACAAGGTTCTTTAAAATTACTATAGAAATCATACAGCTTTGATATTAGAAATTTAAATTTCGTGCTTTTGCATGCTTAAGTATGCAAAAGTGAAAACATTAAAATGTGAATACTTCAGTAGTTTAACTTGACTCTGATTTGACAATGATTATCAATACTTCTACTCATGTACTATAGTTGATTACTTTGTCCACCACTGGCATAGAGGAGTTTACCCTATCCCCTTAAACACTCTCTCACCTAATGAGTGTGTATTGCATGTTCCTTCAGCCCGTGAGCAAGTGACCATGTACCTCGTTGGTGATATGCTTGGCAGTGCCTCATCTGCTGTCTGCTCTTTACTGGAATTCCCTAACTTTCCTCTACAGTTAATCAGTCATGGACACTTTCTGGTTCCACAGAGCTGAGCAGGAACCAAATATTTAAAGTTTAAATCATCGGATTCATATTTTTGTTACAGAACATGCCACAAATCATTAAATTTTTTTATTTAGTTACTTTTGTAACATATTATAAATGAGAATCACTTAATTCCAGGTGACTTTATCTGCAAATAACTTTATTTTTCTCTGTAAAAGAAGGAAGAGGATGGACACTTTAAACCCTGTTCTTTTAGATTTCTGTTTTCTGACCTTCTTCATGAGCACAGATAGAATTAACATGTTCCTATTAATTACTACAACTTCAGAGTATGAACACTTCTGCTTGCTCCAACCAGTTTGGTTTCACTTCCTCTTGTCCTCCATCTTACAGAGGAGACACATCATTTCCTCTTCTGCTCCAGATGCACTTAAGGCTTTAGATCTTAATATGCTATTCTTGAATTATGAGCTTATTTTAATGTTTTTACATGGGAACAAGGGTAGATCTTACCTCAGTTGACAGAGATTACACTTTAATATAATATAAAACTAATGTCAGATGTGTATCGCTGTGTTATTAAAAAAAAATAAAAAAATTAAACTTTTAGTTTTAAAATATCAATAGAAACATGAATGAAAGCCATTTAGGAGATTAAGTTACTACTATTTTGGGAAAATATTTCCTTTGCATTATAACCCTTAAAAATAACTGAACAGATTGTTTTAGCTGCAGCCTTTAAACCCAGAATTTTAACTATTATCATTATAATGGCCTCAATAGTTTCCTACCTGGTCCTGTGTGTCTATGAGAGGATTTTTATAAAATTCGGCAGGAAAACAGCTTGTAAATAAACCTCTGGAATCGTCATTTTATCTATAGTTTTATTTTGAAAATGCCTCTAATCCCACTTTAGATTAAAATAATTATTTTGTGTAACAACAGATATCTTTGATATTTAGTCTTGTTGGCTTTTTTCTGTCAGCAAACATGTTAGTGAATTATTTTTTTTTTTTACTTCTGTGGCTAAAAAAGTTAAGTTAAAAAAATATATATATTTATCCAAAAGTTTCTTTTTTATCTGAATCAAAACATTTTTCATCTGAAAACACTTTCTATATTTTTCTGATAGAGGATGAAACATTTTTTTAATAAAAGCTTCCTTTTTGCTCAGGTTCTGGATAACATCCGGAGCGCAATGCTCCGATATGACATCTGCCACCCAGTGGTCAACGATAATGAGGCGTCTCTCTGGCACGAACTGGAAGTCTCCTGCTGGCCCACACTGGTTCTGCTAGGACCACGCGGCAACCTGCTCTTCTCTCTGGTGGGCGAAGGCCACAGCGACAGACTAACACTTTTCACTGACGTTGCTCTCCGTTATTACAAGGAACAAGGCCAGCTGAAGACCCACTCGGTGGCAATTAAGCTCTACAAGGACTCTGTGCCACCCAGCATCCTTTCCTTCCCTGGGAAGGTGGCTGTGGATCACTGCGGCAAAAAGCTGGCCATAGCAGATACGGGCTATCACAGAATCCTGGTGGTGTCTTCTACCGGACAGCTGCTGCATGTCGTAGGAGGTAAGGAGTCACAGTTTTGTCCTGCTACAGCCAGAAGCTTCAGTTATTTTAATGCTATTTTATGTGTCAAAAAATTCACTCCACCCTTTAGTCCTGCACTTTTGAAACATTCAGGCAGCTTTGACTGGATGGCTTGTTGTGGAATGACCAAGTCAAAGACTTGACAATACTTCGAAATTGATGCCCCAACCTGCTTATCTTCCAATCTAGGGCTGAAAGGATTAATCAGATTAATCGTGATTAATTGATTATTGAAATAATCACCAACTAATTGAGTAACCGATTTATCGTTAACCCCAGTATAGAGACTCTAAAACATTCCTGCAGCTGACAGAACAAACCCACCTTGAGCAGCATTTATACCAAAGTTGTAAAAAATATATGTAAACATTTAGCATTATTTGTAAAAATCCTTTTCTTCTGTCAATATTCTCTATAAAGAACTCCTCAAGTGGGAAAGTTTTGGTTTCACCTGGTTGTATTTGGCAAGAAGTCTCCTTTAAAGAACCTTTTGCTATCCAATTGTTAATCTCAATCCCAATCGAGAAAATAAATCAACAGATTCATTGATTTGCAAAAACTTTGTGAGTTGTAGCCCTAATCAAATCTGACTGAGCTGGGGCTATTTTGCAGAGGAAAAAATGCATCAATTTCGCTTCTATGTGCTAAAACTGGTAAATACACACTACTCCGAAAGACAAATTGTAGATGAACACACATTAAAGTTTTTCCTTGAGTTATAAATTGTTAAAAGCTAAAGGGTCATGAATACTGGCCTTATATAGATAAAGCAGCAAGTAATGAGCAATAATTGAGAATTTTTTGGTGATGGTGGGATGATGCTATCGCCTCAGTGCCTCGCATCAGAACCACATGGTTGCCGCGTTGGCCTCGGACCAGCTGAACGTTTGGCAGCAGCAGAAATGAAGACATGCTGCCATTTTGGCTAAGTGTGTACAGCAGAGAGAAGGAAGTACAGGGCCAGTTTTATTTTTGTGCTGATGACCTCATCTTTCTGGACAGATGTACAAACAAGTAAAAATTAACACCTGCTTAATGATTAATGTACTAATTATACACAGAGGCATGTAAAAGTATGCACACCCGTTCAAAGTAGGTCAGATTATCGCCTACTAGATGGGTGATGAAAGGAAAATGACTCAATGTTTTCAAAGTATTGCCTGCATTTTCATTCAGCCCATTTACTCTGATTCCCCTTAATAAAATCCAACTCTGGGTGTTGGAGAAACAAAATGAAGTCATTGAAGGATAGTTGTGTAAAAGAAATGTGAAATTTTCTGTTACAGGACCTCAAAGAGGCAGACAGGATGGCGACTTGTCTGAAGCTTCTTTCAACTCCCCGCAGGGTGTCGCCATTAAAAACGACACTGTTTTCGTGGCCGACACTGAAAATCACCTGATTCGAAAGGTAGGATTTCTCTTCATCTTTGCCATCTTAGATACTGCTTGGATGTTAAAGTTTGTTTGTTTTAGGTGGACCTGGTGAGGGGACAAGTTAGCACGCTGGCTGGTATAGGCACACAGGGGACAGACAAAGAGGGCGGAGCCATGGGACCCCAGCAGCCAATCAGTTCTCCGTGGGATGTGACGCTCGGCAGTGCTGGTGAGTCTTTTTGCAGCTGGGTTTGCCTGGAAGTGGAAGGATAATATTTTTCTCCTTGTCTATATCTGACCTTTCTCTAAGCGCCTGCCAGACAGATGCCCCTCTGTCCTGTTTTTGTATTCTCTCCATACTCTTCTCCGCCATCAATAATTCCTAAATCCATCTAAGCTATTGTCTGGACATTATTGAACCTTATTACTTTGCAGATCAGGTTTCATGCAGATTGAGATGAAGGTGAAGAGAAAACATCTGTTAGCCATTGAATAAGACTACTTTGTGATTTATATTGTGCTAATTAGATGGTTTCATGAAGGTCGAGTGATTCATAAATTACTTAGAAATACAACCAAGTCATCTGAGGTTCCCTTTATGCCTGCATCACCCAGCAGTGCACAGATAAAATGTTATCCAAAAAAACTAAACAGCACTTTAAAATATACTGTTTTTTTAGAACAATGTGTTTCTGCAAAATCTGGAAAAGAAATTTATTTGGAAATTAAAATAAGCTTAACATTATTGTTTGTCCAAGGTTGTGTTTGTCCTTCCTTCCTATTATGACAATCTTAAAAGGAAACTATTGTTTTTGAATAAATGCTTAACTTTTTATGTATTAAGTGATAAACTTTCTCCAAAATGATCTATTATAAAATTTTGGGGAGGAATTTTTTTCCCCCATCTAAAACCAAGCCATCTTAAAAAAAAAAGAAAATGTACCAAAAATGTAAAAAGTACATTATGGTTAAAAAAATGCTCTATCTGAAGTATGAAGTACCTAATAAAAAGTTCTTTGAATACAACACGTTTACCACAGTTTTCAGCCAGAGGACAAGAAATGTGGCTACATTTTGTATTTCCAAGGTGCCTCAAGGTGAATTACATGAATAAAGAGCAAAGCTGATGTAAATCTGTTCTGCTTCAGAACAAGTTTTAAATGTTTATCTACTTGATAATAAATACAGTATTTATCATCACTTTGGTAGGAAGTGTTTTTGTACGCAGGATGGAACTAAAGAGAATAAGTTGGTTAAACAAATATTTTGATCTAATTTGAGTGTTACAGTATTAATCAAGCTTTGTTAATGAGTCAGTTTAATTTAAGTGATTCTATAAAGAATAATAATCAGCTAAAGCTGGAACTTTGCAGAAAAAAATACAAAAACATCCTGAAGTTCTTCTGTTCTCACGCATAAATCTAAGACATTTGCTTCATCAGAGCTCAGTCCATCAGGTTTCTTAGGGTGTGTTCACATCTACCACATTTGGGCTGCTTTAAACGGGCAACAGTTCCTTTTCCCCTTCCGCCTGGACCTTTCCTGCTGGTGTAAATAAAGACCAGCGATCTGACCAAACAACTGACACCTTTTGAGGTCGCCTCAGTCCGCTTCCAAACAGAATTTGGTGTGGCTCACTTCTTTATACAAATGTTCTAGTGAGCTTAGTATTAAAATTGTAAATGTTATGCTGTTACTGTGCTCAGCAAGTCCGCTGCCATCAAGCTGCAGGTCAGAACGGTTGATTAAAGGATGCCTTCTCTGACACCTTAAAAAAAATCAAATATAAATGTCTTAAAATCTACAGATTGTAGACTGTTTTTCTGTCTGCACTGTCCTGCTGTAGTCATTTCTGACAGAATGGGAGAAACGCTTGTCTTTGCTATGACCGGTAGACCACTTGCAAAAAGCACATATTAAATACAAACCAGACCAAGAACAAACAATAAAAGTCCACTTCTTGCTAACTAACAGACCAAAGGTGAATACACCCTATGACTTTATTCTTTCCCAATTTCCTCAGCACTTACTCTCCTTTTCTTTTCAAAATATTCCAGCCTATGCTTTTTTCCTAAGAAGAAAAGTCCTGTAACCTCCATCAAAAGTTGTTTTTCAAACTTTTTAGAAGTTACCTTCCAAACATGCTAAGAAAAAAAAAAGTGTTCTGCTCTCTAATGAGTTTTCGGTTTTGTGGTTCATTCTAATGTGTAGGCGGCGCTGAGGACAACGTGCTGTGGATAGCCATGGCAGGGACCCATCAGATCTGGGCTTTGTTCCTAGAAGATGGAAAACTGCCCAAAAGAGGGTGAGAGACCTGGACAAAATCCTGTATCCACTAAAAAGACACAAATAACTCTATTTAAAGCACTACAAGACGGGGCTACAAATATCTGCTTTATTGCTATACTCATGTAGCCAGAAATTACACAAGGGCAAGAAATAATTAACATTAAACTATCTAAAACAACCTTCCTATATGTCAAGATGTGATTACCCGCCTTGTTTATTTAAAACACTTTGGATCAGGGTAAGTAGCAACACTCAGGCCTGAGTACTGCCTGATCTAAAAAATTAGCCAACTACCCAAATAATGTGACCATATGAATTGGACTAAAAGGATCTGGAAAAACAGCCAAACATTCCCTGATCTAAAGAAAGAAAAGATAAGAAACAAATTCCTTATCATCCATCAGTCTGGAAAAGTATAGAAAGCTGTTTTGAAGGCTTTACGAGGTCAGTAAGGAACCATTGTCGACACATTCCTGTCCCTGCAGGGCATTCCTAAAGCAGAATGTCCTGCAGAATGACCCAGTAGGTTCACTTCTGAAGCAGTCAGCAAAAACAAAATGAGGTTTAGAGTAGTCTAATCAAAGCCTAGAGATACATTTCTTTAGATTTTGCACGTCCTTTAACAGGTCATTAATTGTCTAAACCATAAAGTGAATTTATGTATTATTTCCAGTTATTTCAAATGGCAGATGGCAAGTATCACTCAGCCTGCCACAAGCTGTTATTAGGTTTGTGGGGCTTACTTTCACACAAGGGGAGGTTGGTTTTGGGGTGCTTTTATAGTTAATAAGTGAGATTACAGCACTGTGAAATTTTAGGTTTGGCGATATTTTGTTTTAACAGTGAATCCAAGGCAGGGACCTGCGTGCGATGGGCAGGCAGCGGCAGCGAGGAGAACAGGAACAATGCCTACCCTCACAAGGCGGGCTTCGCCCAGCCTTCAGGGCTGGCCCTCGCTGCAGGGGAGCCCTGGAGCTGCCTCTATGTGGCTGACAGCGAAAGCAGTTCCATTCGATCTGTGGCCCTGAAGGACGGAGCCGTAAAGCATCTGGTTGGAGGAGAGCGGGACCCACTGGTCTGTCCAAAACAACACAGCTATGATCATTTTAATAGAATTTACTTTTTGTTACATTTTACTAAGATAATCCATTATGCTCTTTTATTCATTTTTTTGTGGGTTTAGGATTAAAACGTAGATGTTTTAACTTCTTTTGTCAACATTTTCATTAAGTTTTAGACTTGTGTTAGGCTTCAACAAGTATATTTGAATAAAAGTTAAATTCTTCCTCAGTAATAAACCCTGGATCACCAGTCAAGGCAAGGCAAATTTATTTGTATAGCACAATCAGTACAAAGACAATGCAAAGTGGTTTACATGATTAAAATATAGGAAAATAAAACAGAATCAAAGCAAGTAGGAACAAAAATAAAACAAAAGAAACAAAAAAGAACATTAAAAACAGTTGGACTAGAGAAAATAAAAAAGTTGAACTAATAATGTTTCAGTTGAACAGTTTAACTAGAACAGTCGAAGGCAATCCTAAACAAATGTGTTTTTAGTCTTGATTTAAAGGAACTCAGGCTTTCCAGTCATCTGGAAAAATTGTTAAAAAAGAAAAAAAGAGCCTTCAGGAAGGGAGACAGGAAAGTATTGATGAGTTTACAGAAGTAACTTAAAGCGAAGATAAAAGCAAGAAAGGGGGCATACAGGAAGAAGCTGGAAGGTAAGCTCCTCAGAACAATGTCAGAGGTGTGCGTATGAAGAAGATCACAAGCTCCAAGCAGAAATTAGACAAATTAAAGTCTGGAGAGCCTTTAAACTGAACATATTCTTCAATAGTTCAGTTTTAGAACAAGTTCACCATCCTTCTCTCCTGATAACAGTCACATAGGCATCATTTAAGGTTTGATAGAGAAGCTTTGGGTTTAAAGGTGGGTGCCGTAATTCTGGGTTTTCTTCAGTTGTTAGATGTTACAGAAAGTTTTTATTATCCCTTTGATTTAACTAAACAAAGAATCATAAACTGACTTTTTAAATTGATGTTCCGGTTTTTATTCTGCACAGTGTAAAACCTCTTGTGATTAAGACTGACATTAGTTTGTTTTTGTTTTTTATTGCTACTCTAACTCAATTTTCTTCCATGTTCTAATTGTAAAACTAAAAGCCCCTCTTTGCTTTTTCAAAATGTTATTTTTTTTCAAATAATCCTGGCTATAATCGATATATTCTCCGCTGTTGCATCTTTTTTACGTTGTATGTTGGTCATTTTCATTTTGCTTCTATCTTGATAAATATTTCGTCTTCTCTCCACCAGAACCTTTTTGCGTTCGGAGACATTGATGGCAAAGGGGTGGATGCCAAGCTGCAGCATCCTCTCGGTGTTGCCTGGGCTCATGAACAAAGCCTGCTCTATGTGGCCGACTCCTATAACCACAAGGTAACGGAGGGCCGTTGCTAAGCAGCCCCATCACTGTGTTGTTAATACGTCTGAATGTTCTGCTGTCATTCTGGGTTTTTTCAGGTGTTAGAGGTTACAGAAAGTTTGTATTAATTCTTTAATTTAACTCAACAAAGCATTAGAAACTGACTTTTTAAACTGAATTTAATTAAAGCATTTCTCTGGTGTTGATGGATATTAAGAATTAACAAAAATACAGCTGCATGCTGTGTCTGTCCTTTCTTTTCCTACCCTTAGTTGTTCCTTCACTCCTTCCTTGCTGCCCTTTTTCTTAATTCTTCTTTATGTATTATCTTTGTTCCTCTTTTTTTTTATTCATTTATTATCTCCTTGCATTTTTCCTTCTTTCCGCTTTACTTCCTTCCTCCTTTCCTTGCTTCCTTCTTCAGCCCTCACATGCCTTTTCATTCATTAATTCCTCCCTCCCTGCTTCTCCCTTTTTTCTTTTAACAAAGAAAGCAAGCAGTAACAGTGCTTCCTTCCTTCTTTTCTCTCCGTCCTTAGTTTCTCATTTTCTTTTCTTTGAAGTCTTTTGAGCTCTTTAAATTTATTTAAAACCTGACTTCTGTGGGAAGAATGTGCACACAGTTCATGGAAGACTGTTTATATTTTAGAAATATGCAAATATGTCAGAAATTTTGGTTGTTACTCTTAAAAAGTTTAGAATTTAGAAATGGAAATGTGTAGAATCCCTTTTTTAAAGGTTAACCCTCCGTTATTAGTTTCATGGTGCTGCCCTTATGCTTAGATCAAGGTGGTGGATCCAAAGACGAAGCAGTGCTCTACCGTAGCAGGGACAGGAGAAGCTGGAGATACTCTGGGCCCTCAGTTTACTAAAACCTGCTTCAATGAACCTGGAGGAATATGCATCGATGGGAAGCTTCTCTACGTGGCTGACACCAACAACCATCAAATCAAACTTCTCCATCTGGACTCCAACACTGTCTCTATGGTCAGGATTGTCTGTGTGTTTTAACGTATATCTTTGCTGAATTATTGTTCCCTAAAAGTATTCACTCCCTGAGTTTACGTAATAGCTGACTAGCAGTGTGGTTGTAAGTAGCTTTATCGCTGCTCTGCATTAATCCCAACATTCAAATCTGTCTCCTAACCAGTTCCACATCTCTACTGAGTGCACAGACTCAGCATCTGTTAAACCACTTGGAGCCAGAAAAGTCCCCTCGCTGCCTAAATCAGCTGTCAGGAAAGATTTGCCTCCAGTTTCAGCGTCTGTGGGCCAGACTGTCATGATGTCACTCACCATGTCGCTTCCAGAAGGAGTCAAACTCACTGAAGAGGCACCCAGCTGCTGGGCGCTCACAGCTGAGGGTAAAAAGAAAAAGCTGATTCTTTCTTATAAATGCAAATATTTCTTTCATAATAATCCTTTTTCATAGCTCAGAACTAATCCTCCATCAAAACATTGCACTGTTCTCTGCTTAAATGCATTTATAACCTTTTTGTCCAGGATTTTCACTGGACAACCCTGATTTAGTGCATAATGGGGAGGCAATTAAGATGTTATTTATTTAATTATGCAGAGTAATTTCTCATATTGAGGATACATTTTAATTGAGGTAATCCCTAAAACGTTCATTATTGTCTTACTTTGCGTTTTCACTTCTAAATGTCAATAATTTTAAGGCTCTAATGAAATGCTGTTAAGAGATAAAATCTTTGTTAAACTAATCAGACTTCTTCTAAGTGATGTCCTGATAAAGCTTGTTTAAAAATGGGCATGTTTTCTAAGATGTATTTATAGTTACTTAAAGAAGTATACATTTTTTTTTTTTATTATTGTTCTAACAATAAATACCAAAACTAAAACAGATATTAAGCCTGATAAGCAATGAAGGATGATTTTTAATTCTCGATTAGATTTAAAGTTTACACCATCACGAAAATCATTTTAGAAAACTTTAATATATCTACTGTTTTCCTTACAGATTTCTTTTATTTTTAAGATAACAGCACTACAATAAACTTCTGATAGAGATCAGTTGTTCTTTAAAACTCTCTGTTTTCCTACTTTTTCTGTTGAAATTGAACCTAACAACTATGAAGAAACCTTAAGCACGCCTGCCGACGGGGGGACAACCGGGTCCGGCCCCAGGGTAGAGGGGGGCCCTGAATCAGCCCCCTACATCTTTTACCACAAATATTATTTTTCAAAGATGTTTGCAAGGAAATTGGAGCTTTATTCTTAAGTTTAATAAAATTTTTCCTGTTATTACTTTCTTTCGATTATTCACTGCAGTACTGGGAAGTACTCCCACCAGCCATTCCTTCTAACTGTTTATGCCGCTGACGCAGTTTCTCTGAAGTTTACAAGCTGCTATGCATAAGGTTGGCTGCGCTGCAAGTGGAGACAGGAAAATACAGATCCTGAATCGTCCCCTCCGTACACGGTCAGGCAGCAGCTCCATCTCTTTAACATAAAGGATAGGCTGGCACTCACCTGAAGAAGCTGCCTCAAGCTGCAGGAGCAGCTTCGCTTTAGTTCACCCTTACCTGCAAAAGCCTGAGAAGGCGGCCTTAATCTCTAAGCGCTCTGATGGAGCAAAACAACTCAGCAGTTTCTGTCATGAGTTTGTTCCCTATCTTTCCTAGATGAATTTACAATCAAAACTGGACCAATGGGCATTGTTAAGAGATTTAGCGGCGCCTAATTGGACGGACGTGACTAAATGATGCATCCACGCTGCAACGATGCTGCGAACGACGTGAATAAATAGACAATCCTACTGCGCAGCCTTAACTACTTAAGAAAGATTTTGACCAGAACATTTTGTGCTCTAATTTAAACATGTCACACAAGTAAAATTCTGTAAATGGGATCAAATGCGACTGGAGCAGGTATGGAAAGGCAATGTATTGCCACATATTTCATGAATAAAAAACAGGAAAGATCTCTTTTTGTAAATGTAGGCATTTAAATGTTTCTTGAGATGCATGCATTAAATTAATTTCGTTTTTTATCCTTAATACAAAAATAATTCAATATTTTTAAAGTATTTAATTAACTATTAGATATGTGTCTCTTCCAGAAAAATACACATCTTCATCAGCTGTGCTGTTATATGTAGGGGGATCTGTAAGCTCTTATAATTCATTAAAGAAAAGCTAAATTTAAGCAGGTTAAATCAAGCCTTGAATTTTTTTAAGAACATGCTAATCTTCAATGCTTTTATCAGCATATTTTAATTATTTAAATTGGGCTTATTTGTCAAAAAAATGGATCAAACAAACAGCTGAAGCTATTGGGAGAGAAAAAAACACTTCAGCCTTAAATCTAAAAGACAAAAGTCCTCCTCTTTTATGTAACCCTATTGGATAGTTCTGCTTTCTCCTACATGCTTTTATTTTGGTCTGTTTTCTATGATTTTGTTAAAAAAAAAAATGTTATGACACTGAATGAGGCTTAACCTTCATCCACTGTAAAACAAGCAGTGTTTCACTCATCCTGCCCACACCTGCGACTCCGAGCTAAAGGATGAAGGGTCACTTAAAAAACTGAAGCCCTTTTCTGAACCGCTGATGAGGATTTAGTTAGTATCTGTTTTTTTGAACCAGTTTATTTCAGCAGTATTAAACTGCAGTTTAACCCCAGCATCAGGTGTGAAGCGATGCCTGCATGTACATTAGTGACGGCTGACAGTCAGTTCATAAGTATTTCCATCTTTCTGAGTGACGCAGTGAGCAGTCAACCGTATCAGCGGGCTATTTTTAGGACATTTGATAAGGCGACATGCCTTGGTTCACATAATTAGCCACTAGGCTATGTTACGTGATCCTCCGCTGTCCCATTATGTACAGTCTAGACTTCTGCTGATCAGATCAGTACAGAGGCAGGAATTTTAATGGATCAAGTTAAGACTATACGGCAGATCGAAATGTTTTTCTTTTTAATGCTTTTTAGAAATGGCTTCTGTGGGACGTTGCGTAATGCTGGGGCTTCATTTATCACTGTGAGCTTGGGTTTTGTCATTTCTCTGGCTTTAGAGTTTCTCACAGTAGAAAATCCAGCCTTCGCTTTTGAACTTCCTACGCATTTTAATGCCACAAAAGCTGTACATGTACCCTTTAAACTACCTTCATTGTGCTACGTGTAGATAATGAAGGTTCCAACAGATTTGGTAATGCTCAGGTAGCGCTGAGAAACATTGAGGCTTCATTCAACAGATGCAGTAAATTTAGTCTTCAAGCTGATATCAGCTTTCACACAGACTAACTTGATATAAACTGTAGCTGGATCTTGTTTTTCGTCATCCTGTCAGAGCATCTCTGGGGAGCGATTGGCCTGTCAAAGGTTTGGAACACCACATTAAATAGATTTAGGGACCATTTGTTACATGCCATCATGTTTTGGGTGTCCATGTTCCCAGATGGTGATGAATGATATTTGCCCTAGCTTTTTGTTGTCATGCATAAGTTGTTTTTGCTTTTTTTTTCTGTAGATGATATAAAGAGTGAAGCACATTTCTCTTCAGAAACTCACAAGAACAGCGTGTAATAATGTGTACCGGTATACATTCTGGCAAAAATATTATATAAGCCTGAAATATTTGCAAAACCCCTGACATTTCTCATCAGCTTTTGCATGTTTTGCAAATTTTATTATTTTAACACTCTTAAAGGGGTCATAGAATGCTTATATAGGGTATTTGGTGCTGATCCTTAAGGTCTCTGAATAGGGTGTGTAACATTGGCTGTTCTATGAGCCCTAATGCAAGCCTGATTAAAAGCCCTAGAATGACATGACAGGTTTTCTTCCTTTTATGGTATCATCATGAATATTTAGATGAGCTGTGCGCTGATTGGTTGGTTTACAACGAGTGAAGCTGCTGAGCAAAGATGCATCATAGCAACAAGCACTCACTCACTCACTGAAACATCCAAAGAAGGGTGACCAGACATCCTATTTTTCCCGGACATGTCCTATTTTTCATACCAGAGGAAATTTCAAAATCGTCTGGGATTTTGGTTGACTAAAGTGCAGCACGTAGTAGAAATGGAGCCAGCGGGGGACGGAGCAACCGAACCTGAGGCGGTGACGGTAGCCTGGAAGACGGCAGCCTTGGACCATCACCGGGTCAGGTTTGGTCGCTCCGTCCCCCGCTGTCAGTGGCCCAGAGGCCCCCCCCGGGGCGTGACAAAAGTACAGGCCAGAACCAAATAAGGCATCATCCCCGAGTTGACATCAATTCGGTGCTTCATTTTAATTCGCCCGTTTTATGGTGGAAGTTTAGAATTATGAGATTTGCAGAGAAAGGAGGTGTTAATGGGGTTTGAACTTCTCTGTTCGTCCATTTCACCATCTGAACTATTGTTATTTATCGATGACAATGTAAACTCGGTTTTGGATTCTATGACCCCTTTAAATTAAAAAGAAAAAATTAAAAACCAACCAATCAATCTTTTATTTTTATTTTTTCCCGGGGATGCCTTAAGTTGTGAAAAAAGAAAAAAAACACATTAGTGCATCGATATTATATATATAGCTGTCATATAATAACACCAAACCAAAAATACTGCATGTTTGCACCATATATATTGATGCTCTGGACTTCCATATCAATGCTATTTTGCACCATGTTTTTTTCTCCCAATTTTTACATTTGATCACTGCTGCACTTTAAGGAATGGAAATGTTCAAAAAGCTTTAAGAAAGAAATTTTGTTTTGTATACACTCTGTTTACAAAATGACAATAAAAGTTGTCTAAGTCTACCAGATAAAAGTTTGTGTATTTTCAGATCCCCCAGTTGCTCTGAGGGCAGCTTTTTAAACTTCATATCACATTCGTTCTTATTTTGCTAGATCTGTCCTTGTGTTCTTATCACCTTTAACGCATCGTGGAGGATGCAAACTCTACAACATAGACAAAGTTATCTGGCCATTAAACATTTTTATTCTATAAACCTATGTTGATTATTCTAACTTGGTGTTTAATACCATAATTATCTAATCCATTTCTCCAGATTCTAGATTTCCTGACTATGAGACCATATTAAGCCCAAACAGATTAAATCTTAATCCAGTGCAATTAGTGCTGGGCAATTAATTGCATTTGCAATATATTCGCAATTCAATAAAAAGCAATTTTCGAACCACAGATGTAATCAATTCTATGTAGTCCCATTACATTTCAAAAGATTAAAACCTTAAATTTTTCACTCCAGCTCTTTAGGTAGCAGTAAAATGCCTAAGTGGGTTTGTCATGCAGAAAAGTCGAGAGAGTTACAGTTAGCATGCAGATCCCTGCATCCAAGCAGAAGTGAGCACTTTTTCACACAAAAGTTACACTACAGGTGCTGGTCATAAAATTAGAATATCATGAAAAAGTAGATTGATTTCAGTAATTCCATTTAAAAAGTGAAACTTGTATATTATATTCATACATTACATACAAACTCATATATTTCAGATGTTTATTTTGTTTAATTTTGATGATTACAAATGACAACAAATGAAAATCTCAAATTCATCATATCAGAAAATTAGAATATTGTGAAAAGGTTCAAAATTGATGGCCCCTGGTGCCACACTCTAATCAGCTAATTAACTCAAACCACCTGCAAAAGCCTTTAAATGGTCTTTCAGTCTAGTTCTATAGGCTACACAATCATGGGGAAGACTGCTGACTTGACAGTTGTCCAAAAGACGACCATCGACACCTTGCACAAGGAGGGCAAGACACAAAAGGTCATCGCTAAAGAGGCTGGCTGTTCACAGAGCTCAGTGTCCAAGCACATTAATAGAGAGGCGAAGGGAAGGAAAAGATGTGGTCGAAAAAAGTGTACAAGCAAGAGAGATAACCGCACCCTGGAGAGGATTGTGAAACAAAACCCATTCAAAAATGTGGGGGAGATTCACAAAGAGTGGACTGCAGCTGGAGTGAGTGCTTCAAGAACCACCACACACAGACGTATGAAAGACATGGGTTTCTGCTGTCGCATTCCTTGTGTCAAGCCACTCTTGAACCACAGACAGCGTCAGAAGCGTCTTGCCTGGGCTAAAGAGAAACAGGACTGGACTGCTGGTGAGTGGTCCAAAGTCATGTTCTCTGATGAAAGTAAATTTTGCATTTCCTTTGGAAATCAAGGTCCCAGAGTCTGGAGGAAAAGAAGAGAGGCACTTCATCCACGTTGCTTGAAGTCCAGTGTAAAGTTTCCACAGTCAGTGATGGTTTGGGGTGCCATGTCATCTGCTGGTGTTGGTCCATTGTGTTTTCTGAGGTCCAGGGTCAACGCAGCCACATACCAGGAAGTTTTAGAGCACTTCATGCTTCCTGCAGCTGACCAACTTTTTGGAGATGCAGATTTCATTTTCCAACAGGACTTGGCACCTGCACACAGTGCCAAAGCTACCAGTACCTGGTTGAAGGACCATGGTATCCCTGTTCTTAATTGGCCAGCAAACTCTCCTGACCTTAACCCCATAGAAAATCTATGGGGTATTGTGAAGAAGAAGATGCAATACACCAGACCCAACAATTCAGAAGAGCTAAAAGCCACTATTAGAGCAACCTGGGCTATCATAACACCTGAGCAGTGCCACAGACTGATCGACTCCATGCCACGCCGCATTGCTGCAGTAATACAGGCCAAAGGAGGCCCAACTAAATACTGAGTGCTGTACATGCTCATACTTTTCATGTTCATACTTTTCAGTTGGCCAACATTTCTATAAATCCTTTGTTTTTATTGGTCTTCAGTAATATTCTAATTTTCTGATATGATGAATTTGAGATTTTCATTTGTTGTCATTTGTAATCATCAAAATTAAACAAAATAAACATCTGAAATATATGAGTTTGTATGTAATGTATGAATATAATATACAAGTTTCACTTTTTAAATGGAATTACTGAAATCAATCTACTTTTTCATGATATTCTAATTTTATGACCAGCACCTGTAAAATCCTGCAACAATGGACTCCTCTCAAGCAAGCTTTAAAAAAACTGAAAGCAATGGAACATCTATAAGCTTGTGGTTAGTGGAAACGAAAATCGAAATAAAATCACAGTAATGCTAAAAAATTATCGCAATAATGATTTTTGGCACACTTGTTTAGCCCTAAATGCTGTAACTCTGCACTCTGGGAAACCTCTAGGGTGTGTATTCGGTCCATTGTTATTCACACTGTATGCAAATGAAAGTGTAGCCTCATCTAATGAAAACTGAGTTTTATAAATTTGCAGATGAGTAAAGCTACGAGGCTCCTTTCTGGATATAATATATTGTTGTACAAGAAGGAAATAGAATGGCTAAAGGGTTGCTTCAAAGATGTCAAATTGCTCTTTTACTTTGAGGAAAAAAATTAGATGATCAGTGAGTTGAACTTTGTCGCAGCAGAGGCACACTACTGTTGACAACCATAAGTAGATAAACTTTATTTAATTAGTTTATTATTCTTAAGCAGTGTCATTATTGTTCACTTATAAAAATGTTCTTCGGTTGTGAACATTCATAAGTGCTTATCACCATTTGAATTTACTAATCATGTCCTCATCAAATTCAGAATTATGGGAATATTTTTAATCTGACCAAATGTCTGAAAATATCCAATACCGGATATTTACAACCCCTTTAATGCTTCTTCTGTCTGTTAAATTGTAATTTTAACTTTTATTTTGTCATTTCCAGGTAACAAGTGGTTGCTGGAAGATCAGCTGACATCAGGAGATATCGTCGATTTGTCGAAACCGCTCTGTGTCTCAGTCAAACTTCCTGCCACTGTGAAGGAATCAGACCGAAACCCCAACCTCAGGTTGAATGTGTGGCTGTTCTACTGTTTGGAGGAAGGTAAAGCCTGTACCATGAAGGCAGCCTCATTCACACAGCCTCTGCAAATAAACACCAGTGCCTCAGAAGGAGAGATCACCGTGGCATTGGCTCATTCCTTCTAGAGAACAGCAGCTTGGCCCTCAGTTAAAGATTTTTAAGTTTCCTCCAGCCTAAGATCTAAAAAAAAATGAAAGATTTTGTTTACAGTTTTGAAAAAAAGAACGAAGATCTGTTTTTGTTTTAGCATAACTTAAAGTGTAACTGACCCCCCCCCAAAAAAAAAAATATATATATGTCTTGCATTCATGTTGTATAAACTGAGTCTACTTGTGTGCTTTTTCAATGTTACAGTATTTATTTTTTTTTTTTACATTTTTACTTTAATTTATAAGTTCTGCAATATTTGTCTCAAAAACGGTATTAGTGCCGCCCTAAGGGGTTAGAAGGGGAAAGTTTCAGCTTAAGTTTTCATATTTGTTTTAAGCGTTACAGGCTTTCATCATCATAACACAGCAGTGGCATTTGGTGGGGTTTTTTCTGCATTGTTGGGGGCGGGGCTATGTTTTCAGTGGGGTGAGTTAGACTTTAATAATAAATGCATAAAACACTATGTCTGCAGTTAGAGTTGCACAGCCTTTCGTGTTGGTTGTAGAAAATAATTTAGAGACAGTTAAGATGAATGCAGACAGTGATCTATATGCAATTTTGATCATGCAGGTGGTTGATTTTTATTTTCTTTAATTTAATTTCGTATATTTATGTTTCAGATAATACAGCTTTGTTTTAATCACATACTCACATAGTTGCTTCTACATTTCTATTATAGATTGCTTTACTTTTAAATATTAAAAAGCTGTTTTTATATCAACTAAAATTTGATTTCTGAGCAGTTTCTAAACCTATTTCTCCCAGAAACTAATCAATTATTTGACCAACCTTTCAAAAAAAGGATGAAAAACAACATTTAAGCAAACTTTCTATTTAGTGTTTGACTGCGAAAGCACAGTTTGTAAATACTAACACAGAGTTATGATCATTTTAACAAAATGAAACAAAAATAAATCAGACCTTTCGGCGTTGGAACAGAAAACCAAAACCATCCATAGCGTTGCGTAACTGGAGCATGAAGAAAGACGTATAAAAGCTGAATGGAGAGGCGTTAATCTTATAAAACCATGTTTAATGGAGGTTATCTATGCAGACACTCATATTTGATCAACATTTACTGTGCCTTGCAAATTGTTCACACATTACTATAGTGTCAGTTTATGTCTGTACTCTTTTTCAATTTTTTTAGTTAGATTAGATGGAGCTAAATCAATTTTCTACAGGAAAGTGAGAAAATTGTAAATAATTCCTCTACTGTATGTTTTCCCACTAAATTCAGTTGAGCTATAATTTAAAATCCCAATAAAACAGATTGATCTTGTGGTTGTGGCTCTGGAAGATACAATAAAAATGTTAAAGCTTGTGGTTGACAAAATGTGAAAAAGTTCAAGGGGTCTTAGCTTTTTTTTAACGATATCCTGTAAACGTTTATTGCAGATCCTTGAGCTGCGGCGCATTTAGATGCATGATAATCTGGCTTCCGTAAACATTTATCGTCTTAAGTGGACGCATCGCCGCAGACCAGTTTATAAAGTTGCCTCTGAATGTTCCTCCTTGTGCAAAGCTGGGTTCTGTATAACTGATAAAAGTTAGGCTTGTGATTATTCGTGTCACGAGGTATCCCTTTGATTCAGACCATTCATATCTGGCTGTTATCTGCGTAATGAATAAAGTTCCTGTTTTCAAAAAGCTGAGGCGGCCTCCTGTGAACTGATGACACCTCGAGTCTGCCGCCTGCTCAGCCGCACTCTGTGTTATTTTATCAAAAAAACAAAGTCTCATTCAAATCATCTGCTCCGCAAAGGGAGCCTGATATAAAAGATATGGTATAATAAGGTTCTGCTGCTTTCTCTTATGTAATAGGATATGATAATGTGGAAGCTGTTGTCCTTTTCTCCATATTGCCTTTTTGAAGTTATGGTCTGCCGACGGAAGCAAGCCTTGGGCTGTTTTATTTTATGTTTATCGTCATCGCTTCTCATAACATGATTGTCCTCTTTAGAATCTGGTTCCTTAGTTTCGATCGCTTAGCCAAAGTGCCTTTCAAAAGGGGTGGGGCTGCACTGATAGCCTAAACTGATGACAATTAACTGTATCAAAAGCAATAATGATATTTTTGTTGTAATGAGATAAAGTTCTTTATTCCCACATGTTATTTATTTAAAATGAGCTGCTAAAGTTTTCTGTTGTCCCTCCAGGACTTTTCTAATCAACTGTAATAGCATTGAGTGGCTGTTGGTGGGCGTCTGATATTGTTTCAAACTTCTTTAACTAATTTGCTGTCCAGGTAATGCATTAAACTATCTATGAATCAAAGCCAAGAACAAGAACTAATAAACATATTTATAAACTCTGGCTGCATTCTTATTTTCTTCTGTTTTGTAAAATGAAACTTCTTCACATCTTCTAATTTCAATATGACTGAAAGAGTAAGAGATTGGGGGAAAAGCTGCCCCTCTGCTGTGGTTGGTGGTTAGGGCATAGAGCTTGGAATCCTTAGGTTGAGAGTTCGAGCCCCACTCCCACAGACTGCCACTCTGGGTCCCTTAGCAAGACCCTTAACCCCCGATTGCTCCCCAGGCACCGTACAATGGCAGCCCACTGCTCCTTAAGGAAATGGGTTAAATGCAGAGGTAAATTTCTCCAATATTAGATTAATAAAGTTAGTAGACTCTGAGCAGATTGGCTTTCAGAGCTGTTCATTTTTCTGAGATTTAATGTTTTACACTTTTCCCAAAACCACTTAATGTACTCCACATCTTTATACCCACCGTGTCAAAGCAAAGTCACAAGTTGGAGTAATTTTGTTAGTCTTCTTTATAGTAAATCAGTATGTGTGTTTTTTTTTATATCGGTTAGATGTCTCTGATGCCGCAGGAGTTGGATTGCATTGGCCTAAAATATCTGGACTAAACCACAGTTTCTTCTTTTTACTCTTCTGAATTCTAGATTCACCCTTCCCTTGTTCACAATCATCTATGAGTTTATCTGCATCTCCATCTGTCTGTACTGTAGCAGATTTAAAAGCCTATAAGTGTTTTTCATCTCAGAATAGCTTTATTAGACGCTTAGGATCTTTCACAGCTTCTCAGTTGAATTTAGATCTGAGGTTTGGGCCGATCCAGGACATGAAAGGGCTCAAAGCTATTTTCTTGTTGTTCTGGTTGCTTGTTAAGGGTCATTGCCTCGCAGGTGGGTGAACCTCCACCTCAGTCTAAGTCTTTGCCTAGAACCATTTTTTTCCCTTCTGTTTTTAGCTCCATTTATCTCCTTGTCGACTCACCGTCCCTGCTGGCAGAATTCCTGCAGGATGATCCTGCAGCTATCATGTTTTACAATGGGAGTTGGATAATCGGGATTATGTTTACTGCTGCTTTTCTGCCTCTGGTAAGTAAGTGGTTCCCAACTTTTCCCTTTGTTTTTCTTTTTAAACAATATTGTTTTTGCCACTAATATTCCTCTAAAACCTTCACAGAAATGGTACTTTTATAAAAAAAATTAAAGTACAAATAGTTGGACTTAATTTCCAATTCTTCTAAATTATTTAGGGCCCAAATAGAGGGGGGTAGATACAAACACAGATCATAGTTCTTAGATTTTTTTATATATATACACTACCATGGAAAAGTTTGGGGTAACCCAAAGAATTTTGTGTTTTCCTGAAAAGTCACACTTATTCACCACCATACGTTGTGAAATGAATAGAAAATAGAGTCAAGACATTGACAAGGTTAGAAATAATGATTTGTATTTGAAATAATTATAATAATTTTTTTTTTTTTACATCAAACTTTGCTTTCGTCAAAGAATCCTCCAGACCTTTGGCATTCTAGATATTAATGTGTTGAGGTAATCTGGAGAAATTGCAGCCCACCCTTCCAGAAGCAGCTCCCACAAGTTGGATTGGTTGGATGGGCACTTCTTGCGTACCATACGGTCAAGCTGCTCCCACAACAGCTCATTGGGGTTCAGATCTGGTAACTGCGCTAGCCACTCCATTACCGATAGAATACCAGCTGCCTGCTTCTGCTCTAAATAGTTCTTGCACAATTTGGAGGTGTGTTTAATCAGAATCAGAAATACTTTAATAGAAATACTTTCCAGAGGGAAATTACTTTTGTTACACGCTCCAGTTACAGTTTTTATATATTTAGGGTCATTGTCCTGATATAGGATGAAATTGGCTCCAATCAAGCGCTGTCCACTGGGTATGGCATGGCGTTGCAAAATGGAGTGATAGCCTTCCTTATTCAGAATCCCTTTTACCCTGTACAAATCTCCCACCTTACCAGCACCAAAGCAACCCCAGACCATCGCATTACCTCCACCATGCTTAACAGATGGTGTCAGGCATTCTTCCAGCATCTTTTCATTTGTTCTGTGTCTCACAAACGTTCTTCTTTGTGATCCAAACACCTCAAACTTGGATTCATCCGTCCACAACACTTTTTTCCAGTCTTCCTCTGTCCAATGTATGTGTTCTTTTGCCCATCTTAATCTTTTTATTTTATTGGCCAGTCTCAGATATGGCTTTTTTTTTTGCCATTCTGCCCTGAAGCCCGAATCCCGCAGCTGCCTCTTCACTGTAGATGTTGACACTGGTGTTTTGCGGGTACTATTTAATGAAGATGCCAATTGGGGACCTGTGAGGTGTCTGTTTCTCAAACTAGAGACTCTAACATACCTATCTTCTTGCTCAGTTGTGCAACGCGGCCTCCCACTTCTTTTTCTACTCTGGTTAGAGCCTGTTTGTGCTGTCCTCTGAAGGGAGTAGTACACACCGTTGTAGGAAATATTCAATTTCTTAGCAATTTCTCACATGGAATAGCCTTCATTTCTAAGAACAAGAATAGACTGTCGAGTTTCAGATGAAAGTTCTCTTTTTCTGGCCATTTTGAGCATTGACCCCACAAATGTGATGCTCCAGAAACTCAATCTGCTCAAAGGAAGGTCAGTTTTACAGCTTCTGTAACGAGCTAAACTGCTTTCAGATGTGTGAACCTGATTGCACAAGGGTTTTCTAATCATCAATTAGCCTTCTGAGCCAATGAGCAAACACATTGTACTATTAG